TCCAATGATTGTTATTGTTAAGTGCCATGGAGTCATTTCCAACTCCTAGTGACCTTGTATGGGGTTTCCAGTGATGGCTTTTGTTGTTGTTAAGTGCTGTCAAGTTGGTTATGACTCATAGCGACCCTATATAGGTTTTCCAAGGAGTGGCTGGTGAGTTTGAACCTCCAGTCTTACAGTACAAACTGACATTGTGGTCCAGTGTTTTATCTCACAGTGCCACAGCAGTGACTAGCTAGAGTCAAATGTCAGCAAACAGGATATTTTGGCTCCACAGCAGAGGAACTGAACAGAACAGCTGATGTTTTTCTGTCTAACTCCCAGGTAAGGAGGGTTTTTCACCACTCAGATCCTTTTTGGGAAAAGTCAAAATACCAAAGTTTTTATAATTATATTCCCCACACTCTAGACTTGCTTCACAGGAGTAGCATTGACATTAAATGTTAAAGAATGACAAATGTGAGAGAAATTTCATTGAGAAGACCTGAAAGGAAACAGTATCCAACGTATGAGCTCCTGGCTGTTGTAAGAGACAGACCAATGGCCAGGCAGTCAGGGTCCACATCCTGGATCTGAAGAAAGGGTGTCTGTCTCTGAGACCTTGGGAAAATAGCTTTATATTTGGTAACTGATTCTCAGGGCGCTATGAGGATGAGAGGTATGAATGTACTTAGAGTAGGTAGAGTAGCATGTGATACATGGTAAAAACGGAATAAACTAACAGTCGTGGCTATTGTTGGTTTATGCCAGTTTCAGGATATAGACTGGGCCTCTGAATGTGCAGAGATGAGAATGGGTGTAATCTCTGTTAGTGGAATGAACCTCCTTCCTGCCTTTGGATAGGAAGCAGAAAGTTGACTGTGCTTGGAGGCTGGCATGACATGGAGGTGGGCCCAGCACCTGCCTTTACAACCCCCATTCTGCCCCTCCAAGGCTCACACACTCTAACCCTGAGTTCTCTAAGAGTCTGGGAGACAATTTCTTTTCCTTATAATAAAACCTTTGCATTTTCTTAAAAACAACACAAAGTTGTAAGCAGCATTCTTTCTTCAGAGGAAGATAATTAGAAGGGCCTCCTCGTTGAACCACAACTGTCTCTGTCCCACAAGAGGGTCTCCCAGAGGCGATGTGAGACTCTCTGACTATATGCTTTTGCTGAACTGTGACCAAAATGTGGCCATGAAATTGTGTATGTAGGTCGGTGTGATGGAAAATCCAATCGTAAATATGAATTAGCTTTTTTGAATTGCCTTGCAAGATGTATTGTCAGGTTAAAAAACAGATTGGGGATACAGTCCAGTGACTTTTTAAAAAAAAGATCATGACCAGCCTGGTCTGGAGGAACAAGTGGAATTTTTCTATTGAAAAAGTAAAAAGACAATCCATGCAGGATTTGATGATTAATTCATATATGCAAAAAGGAACGAGCGCACAGGAAAACTTTGTGAGGCTGTGTTATTGAGAATCAAGGCAAATAAAACTAACTCATATGCCACATGCAGAGTCTCTGGGCAGCTCAAGTGGGCAAGTGCCAACTGCAAAGTTGGTGGTATGAATCCACCTAGAGTCAGTTTGGAAGAAATTTCTGGTAATCTCAAAGGTTGCAGCCTTGAAACCCCAAAGCAACAATGGTACTCTAACTGACATGTGGTCACCAAGTTTTTGTTGTTGTTGTTAGGTGCCATCAAGTTGGTACCAACTCATAGCGACCTTATGCACAGCAGAACAATATACTGCCTGATCCTGAGCTAATGCTTGAGTCCTGTTGCTATGCTTGAGCCCATTGATGCTGCCACTTTGCTGGGGGTCTTCCTCTTTTTTTCTGACCTTCCACCTTACCAAACATGGTATCTTTCACCAACGACTGGTCCCTCCTGAAAATATGCCCAAAGTATAAGAGGAAGTTTGGCCATCTTGGCCTCCAACAAGCACTCTGGCTGCATGTCTTCCAACACAGATCTGTTGGTTCAATATTTTTAAAAACACATGGAAAATATTCCATAACCTTTACTCTATGATCTGCCAGGATTCAAGAGAAAATTTCATAAGTGCAACTGTTCTATCAGGAGTGAACTGAGATTCACAGACAAATATATCCAGCACCTGTGGACAGTCTATGTTTCCTCTCAGAATGGGAGCGGTTCTATTATATAAAAAGAGTGAACATTTAAATTGTATATCTAAATACGATATATTAAAGATAATGATTTTAAAAATTCACATCTGAAGGTCTTTCATCTTAATCTTTACTTTTTACACTCAAGGTTGTTAATGAATTGCAAAGAGCACTCTCCCTCTAATTCATTTATATTTGTTTTTTGCATCTTAATGAACTGTGCATTGCTTTGTGAAATGAAAATTCTTTGTTGGCTTTTGCCTTGGGAGGTTGATATGCTATCATTTCCTTAATTCTTGCATACATCCAAGGGGGAGAACTCAAAGTGTTTGTACTTTTACTAATAGTGATAGTCTGAGGGCCAAGGTAATATGTTAGGTATTTGATACACCTCAGACAAAAGTCCTATATAAACATCAGGTTTAAAAATTGGATTATCCATGATGCTACACTGAGACATTGTATGCATTTTCTGCAGGTACAACTTGGTACCTGCATTGTTTTGCTTTCTATGACTGTAGAAAATTGAAACCCCCAGTTTTACAATTTTATTTCTTGTTGATAATGGAGCCCAAGTTGAACCATATATAGCAAATGATGGTTTAAATTGGTTTTGCACTTGAAATGAGCAATACAAATGTAAGTTTCACTGTTGGAGAAGCATTGAATTTTCTCCAAGGAAGGGCATTACATGTTTAGGTAAATCTTATTGAGCAAGAGAGTGAGAGCATTCTTTTTGTGATTCTCAGTCTGGTTTGAAAGAACAAGCAGTATCTCTCCCCCACCCCCCTGGTGTTTTGTGCATATTTCTTCTGGTAAAAGCATGGGAAGAATGTGTTATATGGTATAAGTTGTATGCTATAGCATAAGCTATTAAGCATGAGGCTTCTGAAATTTAATCATAGCAAAAAGTACCATTCAGAAATTGTGTTTGTTTTCTAGGGACACAACCAAATCATAGCATACAGCAGACCAATCTATTTTTGTATGCTGTGTGGACTTATTTTACTTCTTGACACAGGAGCCAAAGCCAGACACCCTCCTACTTATGTTGTCTATGGCCTGAAGCTCTTCTCTCCGGGGTCTCTACAATCTGCTAGGGACCACTTAATAGGTGAGTTAATTCTAGGTTGTGGGGAAGGGTATATGAGGGGAGGAAGCTCAGTCTCCTCTATCCTCGGGAAATCTGATGGGAGAACCCTCCATACTTTGTTATTAAATTAAGAGATTTGCATATCCTTCTAGGCTACACTGTACAGAGACATCTGAGAGCCCAAGTCCCAAAGCATCCAAAGATAGAATTATTCCAGAGGCTGTTCAAAGCCATTGTCCAAAAGTTACAGCCCTCTAATGCCTGGAGCATGGTTACTATCGGGGCTGGTGAATGATGCTGCTGGGATGAAGTTTACCATCAGTGTGGTAGTTCAGTTACAGATACTTGATAACAACACATGCTTGTCATGATTCTCCACCTGGCTGGTCACCCAGTCTTCTGCTAATACACTTTATTTGCCTTGAGGTCCCCGCCATTTATGTTATTGTTAAGTGCTGTTGAGTCGGTTCTGACCCACAGTGGCCCTCTAAAGAGTTTCCGAGGAGCATCTGGTGACCCTGAACCACTGACCTTGTGATTCAAATGACTTTGCAGTCCAGCACATTAACCCACAGTGCCAAACCAGGGCTCCATTTATACACCATCCTTTATATTAAATGCTCCACTTAAGCAAATAAAAATGTGAGGTTTTACTTTGAGCAGTAACACTTGTTCTAGAAGATACTATTGGCTATGCAAATTCTCTTCTTTTTCTTCAATCAGTTTATTAGGGAAAGGAGATGCCAGGGATATGGCATTCTTAGCTTTCCCAGCAGAATATCCTTTCTTTCACTAAGACTTCGCCTTAGTGCATGTTTTTGTCTGCTTGTCAACAGTGACAAGTAAAAATGGTGATACACAAGTTAATAAGCCTACTAAATGATGCCTGCAGTAAAGATAAATGGAAAATCAGAGCCACAGCAATCCCTGTGGATGGAATATATTACATATAACAGTTTACGGTCATCAGGAAAAGACTGGGGAGCAAATGGAAAACAAATGGAAAGATAGCAACGATATAGAGGTTGACACTGTTTTCTGAGGAAAAAATGGCAATTGAGTCATTTCTCCTTTCTATGATACTCTTCACCAAACTCTGTTGCTCAGCTACCAAAGGATCTCAATTTAATTAGCTGCTACCATCGCAAGGAGTCTTGGTGTGGCGCTGTAGGAAAACCATTGAACTGCAAGGTCCATTTGAACCACAAGGTCAGTAGTTCAAACTCACCAGTCACTCCTCAGAAACCCTCTCTCTACAGGATCATTATGAGTCAGAACCGACTCCATGGCACTTACAACAATAACAATTGCAAGGTCCAGGTTAGAACAAGGAAAGGAGGAGAAGAGAAAAAACAAAGAGGGAAAACAAAAGGTTACTGGAAAACAAAAAGGAACAGTTAAGAAAAAGGAGGAGCTAAACAAGAATTAAGTACCTGTGACATTGTTTCCATTTTGTGGCCAGAAGGGGCTGGCATGCAGCTTCTATTGTGTTGGGTAAGGAGCCTTGGTAGCATAGTGGATTATGAGCTGGGCTGCTAACCCCAAGGTCAACAGTTCAAATCTATCAGTCACTCCACTGGGGAGAGATGAGGCTTTCTGCTCCAGTAAAGATTTTCAACCTCAGAAACCCCTTACAGGGTCTCCATGAGTTGGAACTGACTCCACAGCACACAAGCACCATTGTGTTGGGTAGATGTAGGTCTCTGGAATGTGAAGTGTTTCTTGGAGTTGTGCTTTCTTACTGACATTACCCACTGCCTGCCCAGTGCCATACCCCACTTGGAGGGGGAAGAGATGACTGGAGAAAAGAGAGGAAAGAGGTGCAACCTCTGCTGACGTCAGGCAAAATCAAACATGTCAAATTCCACCTCTCAGAGCAACAGATATTGAATGTCTGGGGTTGTGATAGGCGATGTGTTAGGTAGATATTGTTGTTGCTGTTAAGTGCTGTTGAGTTGGTTCCGACTCATGGTGACCCTGTATATAGTTTCTGAGGAGTGGCTGGTGAGTTTGAACACTAACGTTGAGGTTCAAACCGATCTTGGGACCAGTACATTATCCTGCAGTGCCACACCAGGACTGCACTGCGCAGGTGGAAAATCTGGAGACACTTCCTTTCATGTATGAAGTAAGGAGGACTGAGAAGCCCTCAAGAAGCACCTTAGATGCAATAAGAGACTGTGAGAAAATAGAATAATAGAAGAGGAATGTCCAAATGTTGGATAGAAGGGATGTGGAGGTGGAAACTCACCTAAGAGGAAGGCAGCAGCCACTGGTGAGGGCTAGTTGTTTTGTAGGCAAATCCAGCAGCTGAAAAGTCTGTGAAAGATATTCTTAAATATGCATTCCCCCCGCCCCGCCCCTTGTTTTAAATCACTCATAGAGATTCAGACTATTGCTCTGCAAACTTCCCTTTCATTATAAAGACAATTTCTTCATTTTTATTTCCAGGAATAAGAGAAAGACTGTATTTCTTATACTCAGTCCCAGGCTGGTAGTTTTGGGGCTGAAATTTGGATTACTTTCCATGTGGTGAACTTCAGCAAACACCATGAGTGAAGCTGGCTTTATACTTACCACCTAGGTGAGAAAGCCAAGAGCTCTTCAATTCTTAGTACCATACTTCACAAGGAACAGTGACAAACTTTGAGTGTGCTCTGAGGAGCACAGGCACATGGTCTGGGATCTGCACGCTGGTAAAGGCAACTGGAGATATCCAACCCAGAGAAGATGACTTTGGCTAAACATGGAACCTTCAGAGGGATAGAAGTCCATCATGTTCTGTGTTGTAGTGGTAGTAATAAATAGTCCTCATAGCTGGGTAGGTGGATTACACAGAAAAAAGACTAGAAAGTTGGTTTGGATTAGAATTTTCCAAAAGTAAATGGACTACAAAGAGTTTCCTGATAAGGAAAGAGTTCAGGTAGGACGTTTCAGATACTGTACAAGGTAAACAAACAAACAAACAAAAAAGGAAGTTATACAAATTAGATGGATTCTTTTTCAAATGGGCTCTGGGGTCCTTCTCAGACCTGAATTGTTTTATGTTTTATTTTAGTTGCTAGAACTAGTAACTCTTCTCCATAATATGTCATCTGTGGAGCCAAGTAGAAGTTTTGTAACCGTTACTAAACTGCATGCCTGCCTCTCTAAACACTCAGAACACACATATGCATGTCTTATATAAAGACTTGTTTCCTGACCTCAGTAATCCATGACTAGGACAACTAGTTAGTACAAGATAGACACTTTACATATACACAAGAATATATACATTTACACAGACTCTATAGGTTTTAGTATTATTTCCATGTTATTTGAATTCTGAATGCTTCCATCCTAAACTTGCAAATAGAGTAATGGATATGATTAATATTTAACCAAAAGAATAAGCAGCTTATCAGTTTTTGTTTGTAAGTTTGACTTGAAGAGAAATGGAACAGTTCCAGAAGTTTCTGCATTTGTGGTATTACGATTATTGTTTATTTCAACATCTTACTGAATTTTTCATATTACACAATTTACTCAAATCACTTAAAATGCTGGGGAGACAAAACAACTTTAAAAAAATGCAGACCACATACCTCTTCTAACTGAGGTAATATTATTATTATCAAATCACAATTTTTTTGTTATTCTGCTCTACTGCTTGGTATCCCACCAATGATACGCATTAACTCAAAGCAAGACATTAACTATCCAGTTTATATCACCGAACAAGAGAGAGCGACAGTAGGAAAGAGATTAATCAAATGAAAGAGATGTAAGAGAAATTTTAGCACAATATGAATTGCTATGTAGGATTTCATTTGCTCATGTAGTTTTGAAAATCATTTAAACTTGGCTATCTTTTTAAGAGGTGGCATAGTAATCTCTTTCTGTTCCAAAATATTGAGTAAATCAACTGAGTTACACCCTCCACCACAATGTAACACCAGTCTCGGATGATAAGGCAAATATCAAAGTGTTTTGTTTGTTTGTTTTTCAGAGCAAATACATGGATAGAAATATTGAATCATTTGTGTCCAATCAACAGTGAATTATTTTTGCAGTTATTATAAACACAGTGCTGATGACAAGCACATCTGCAAAAGTGAGGAAGAGCCCTCTTACCTCTCTAATTTTATGTTTTTGAAAACTCTGGTTATCAAATCCTCTGGACCATAGCCATTTTGAAATATTTGTGGCAATTATTATTGAAAAAGAGAAGTAGGGAGAATGAGAGAGAAAATTATAGACATGTGCAGTGGTATGCTAACACAAAAATGTTTGTTTACAGGGAAAAATGCCAACAACTGCGGGACCTTTTTGTTTTTAGATAAAGAACAAAACAATCCCAGCAATTTTTAGTGTGATTTTTCAGTAGTCCTACTAATAGAATTCACATTTTACTGCTTTTTCATTTATGTTCACTGCCACCTGCCAGATGAACTGCATGGACTCCATTTTTCTCTTATTCACCTTGCAGTTTTTATGTCTTAGACTAGAGATTTCTCTGGCTAGTTCACCCTGTGGAAGATCCAGTCGGTACATGCTGCTCCACGTTGACTCTCTGCTCTCCCCTCACTGTTTCACTGCGTTCTAATTATGCACACACAGCCAGATCGTCTTCAGCTGTGACTTTCTGGGGTCGCTTACCAATTTATTTTTCTCATGCCATTAATCATTGTGTCCAAATTCATTTCCCTTTGTTAGTTTTGCTTTGATTGGCTAATGTGTTTGTTAAACCAAATACTTCTTTTTTTTTTTTTTCTAAGTTTTTATTATGAGGTTTACATGGGAGAACATCAGCTGCACACTCATCCTATTGCATTTTGCCTCATTGTAATGATTACAATCCCCTCCGTGCATCAACAAACAACCAAAGGGTACACCA